ACTCCTCTTTGTGGGCACGCTTCTGCCCTGTTGTGCCGACTCAAAGCACACTTTGAAGTCCATGGGACCTGAGTCTCAATAAGCAAGAAGAATCAAGTCCTACATGTCAATTTCCACCATTCACAAGTACTTCAAAAAGATGAGGCAGGGCAGGAAGTTCAGGAAGAATGAGCCTGCCACTGCGGCATGTAATCTTGAAAATTATAGTCACTGCCTTCTCACACACGACATTCGGTGCAGGTGCTTTTGCCAAACGCCTCCTTCTTGCCAAGAAGCCCCTGCTGAGGAGTAATAGGAATTTCCAATTCTCCAAGCATGTCTTGTTCCTCAGAGCTATTACCCTTGAATTTTTAGTACTTAAAAATACAGGATTTAGCACCTGTTTGTTTCTGAAATACTTTCTAAAAACAGATCTGCCAAAAGGCCACCTTTGGAATTAGTCATATTTCCTGCACTGCACAACATAGTAAATTGTATTTTTAGTAACTCCTTCACTCCAGGTATCTGGTACAGTCATGCTCAGAGCATGATTACTTGGCAACTTACTAAGCAGGAAACCCTTCTTTCTGGCCCTAAAATAGCTCCAATGAAAATGATAAGCAGGTTTCTTTTTTTAACCACAGGTTAGAACAAGATACTTAAAAACCTTAACCAATCACTTTACAAGTACCCAACTTTGCATCCTAGAACAGTTTAAGCACAAAAGAAGATAATGGTAACATCCACTGTACTTCTTTTTGGCAGTTTTGACATGCATTCTGCCGAGCAAGCCAGCTCTACACCTAAGATGTACCTAAGCTTTCCTCAACGAAGCTTTTTTCAACTAATTTTACTTTTTAAAAGATGTAATACTCTGTTATATGCAATGAAAGGAGCCCAGTGGCACCGTGGGTTGAGTGTTGGGCTGCTAACCAAAAGGTCTGAGTTACAAACCCATCAGTCGCTCCACTCCACAGTAGAAAGATGAGGCAGTCTGCTCCCGTAAAGACGGACAAGCTTGGAAACTCTATGGGGCAGTTCTGGTCGGTCCTGTAGGGTCGCTATAGTCGGATTCTCCTTGATGGCCGTGGATTTGGGTTTTGTTTTGTTTTGTTTTTTATTTTGTTTTGTTTCACATGCTGTGAGTCGGGATCAACTTGATGGCAACCAGCATTTGGTTTTTTCGTTACCCAAAAAGTATGCATCCCAAGAAAGGAAGAAACGCAAGAGGGGCATAGGCCTTCCTGGATCTTTCACAACACCTTAAAAGTCTGAGGATAACCCTCCCTTAACCTTTAGATCTTTTCTTGACAAAGTCTCCCCTTGCACCATAATGTATGTGCTCCCCGGAGTAACCGTTCCCCAGGTCCCAAAGCCCTCTTAATAGCTCACTTTTTAAAAACAATGTAAGATTGCAATTAAGCTGGGGTTAACTTGACCTTTGTATTGGCCTTGGGAAGGCCAAATCCAAACCAAGAGTGAGGATGGGGTCGGGAGACTCATTAACTCAGCAGATTCTTCCTTCCCAGGCAGAGGCATGCACACAAAGAATGTTAATCTCTACAACCTGCTAAAATCCAAATCTATTAGTTAAAGCATTAAAGCTGTGGGACTCTGGAGCTAAGAGCCATGAATGGCACCCATTGTTTCTTTAAAGCCATTAATTGAGTGAGCTAAAATCCAGCTTTCTAATGATACTTTCTGTCCCTAGATTCTCCAGTCTGGAGATGAGCAAACCAGAAAGGGGGAAAAAACAACAACAGTGGGCTCTTGAGTATTCCAGTAGATTCTGAGTCATGGTGCCCCCATGTGTGTCAAAACAGAGCTCCATAGGGTTTATATAATGGTTGGTTCATCAAAAGTAGGTTGCCAAGCCTTTCTTTCAAGGTGTCTCTGGGTGAACTCAAACTGCCAACCTTTTTCTTAGCAACTGAGTACATTAACTATTTGCATCGCTCAGGGATGCCAGGTCAGAAAAACCAAGGAACTTTTTCAGCATAAATATCCCTCTCCCATATCCTCCTTCTCCTTTTGAACACCGCCTTTAACTACATCAAATTAATTGGTTCAGTGAAATAATTGCACATCCAATTAGTATCTCTTCCCATTGTTATTGTGAGTTGTTAAGGAAGACAAAATAGGAGGGAAAGGGGTCTAAGCACACAAGAATGCTGGGCCCCTCATTTGAACTCCACGTGGGTGAATAACCCTACATTCCAAAGCACTTTCCATCAAGTCAATTCCAACCAATGGCAACCCCAGGCGTGATATGGTAGAACTGTGCTCCACAGAGTTCAATGGCTGATTTTCTGGAAGTAGACCATCATCAAGCCTTTTTTCAGAAGCACCTCTGGGAAGACTTGAAGCACCAAACTTTCATTACTAGTTGTTGTTGTTGTTGTTAAGTGCCTTCGAGTCGGTTCCGACCCATAGCGACCCTGTACAGGGTTTCCGAGGGTGTAAATCTTTACGAGAGTAGAAAGCCTCATTTTCTCCCATGGAGCGGCTGGTAGTTTCGAACCGCTGACCTTAAGGTTCGCAGCCCGATTCGTAACCACTACGCTACCAGAGCTCCTTTAGCTGCTAAATGCCTTAAAGTTAATTCCAACTCATAGTGACCAAGGAGTGGCTTGTAGGTTTGGACCGCTGACCTTGCAGTTAGTAGTCCAGTACTTATCCTACTGCACCACACCAGGATGAATACAAAGTTCTAGAACCCAGCACACATAGGGGTAAGGCTGAGCTCTGAGTACATACATACATCCCTAGGCAGTTCAGCTAAGACCAAACAGCCTTATGTTATAGAGCAAAAATGCACTGGTGAGAAGCCGGAGGCAAAACACAAGAGAACCTGGAGGGGAGCCAGGAGAAGCTGTGCAGCCGGGCAGGCGAAATGAATTCACTTGTAATGTTTGCCATTATGCTGTCAGAATAAAGCCTCATCTCTTTCTGTTAAGTTTAGTGCGGAAATACAACCAGTCTGGGACCTATATGGTTCAAATGAAAACAAACTCCTACACCCCCACCCCACTCTCTACACCCCCAAACCATGCCAACAGAATTTACACTGGGACAGGGACACAAAAAGTGTGCTCATTGGAATTAGCTAGCAATCTGGCCTCTTAGTGGCTGCACACCCTGAAAGGACTCACGATGTATCCCTCTGAAAGTCCACTACGAAGTAAGGAGTAAAGTGTGTTTTGTTTTCTTTGAACTAGATTGAGGTTTGGGGTTCTTCTTCTTTTTCTTTGAAGAGTTACTTGTAATTCAGTGAGTTCATCTTGAACATTCCCTTTTCACATGGAAACTCAGGCAAGAGGCACTTTTTAAACTAATAGCTCAAACTCTGCTTACCTTAGTTGGAGTGTCTGAAGGAACAGAGGGCAGATTAAAAGGGTGCCTGAAACTTAGATTCAAATGCAGGTGACTCCAGGACAAGTGGGGGAGACAGGAAGAAGCAAACAGGGAGAGTGAGGCTTGGGGGCTGGCAAGCAGGGAAGCTCAACCCTGCAAATAGTGGCTCCATACTCCAGCATTCTTAGGACTCACTGATATAGAGCCCCAAAGGATCCCAAGTCACAGGATGAAAGGGTTTGGCTCCCAGGATACTTGCTCATTTAGCAAGTCTTGAGATCCCTGGCCCACCAGTGCTGGGCAACCCCCATCCTGGGGGAAGCATTCATTCTGAGATGATCACAAGCTTGGGGCATCTCCCAGCCTGGGGTAACACAGCTCCTGGGGTGTGACCCAGCGCCTCAAAAGTAAGTCATCTTGAGTTTCTTTTCACAGTGCTAAATTACACCTTGGAATTTACCTGCACCTCTCTGACTCAATGAGTTCACGACCCTCCAACTTCTAATTAGACTGGAGAGGGTGCCCTTCCGGGTCTCTGCAGGTCTTCCCTTTCTTTACTTTGCCCTCTCCTAGAAAAAGATACAAAGGCATCTCCCAACCTCTGAAGTCAGAGTATCAGAGTATATCTCTGTATCTGCCAGAGCAGCCTAAACTGCAATTCCCAACGCAGAGGTGGAAGGCGTGGGAGGAGGGATTGAAGGCAAAGGAGTAGGGAGAAAGAGGGGACTGGAGAGAGGGTAGTGAATGTTTAGGGGTGGAAGGGTGGGTGATGGAGGGATGCAGGATGGGTGAATAGAGAAGCATGTGTTGAACGATAGATGGTTGGAGGGGTGCGTACGTGAGTGGGCTTGTGAAAACCCTCTCTAATCATTAAGAGGGTAGCCTGATGGGATAGGATAAGCACTGGACTGCTAACCACAAAGTCGACCGTTCAAACTCACCAGCCGCTGAGCGGGAAAAAGATAAGGCTGTCTGTCTGCTCTCGTAAAGATTTACAGCCTCAGAAGCGTGTAAAGGGTTGCTAGGAGTCGGAATGGCACCGTGGCAGTCCGTTTGGAGTTTGGTTTAAGCGTTAAGAAGCTCCCCTGTTGCAAGTCAGAGAAGTGTTCGGCTTTTCCCCTCCTCCCGGCTGGCCCCCAGCAGGCGGAGCGGAGTACCCCTGGACCCCAGCTGCCCCGCCCCCCACACCTCCTCCTCCTAGATCCTGGAAAGAGGTCAACTAGAAACATCCCCACGGGCTTGCTTATCGGATCCCCAAGCCCCCAACATTAGAGCCCAAGCTCTCCAGCCCTGTTCTTGCCTCGACGCTGATCTCAGGGCCCCCTACAGACCAGGAGAGCAGTTCCCCAGACCCCTCACTAGCGTCCGCCAGGCGGCGCCCTTCGAAGAGCAAAAAGACTGAGCAGGGCGGCTTCGCGGGTAAATCGACAGCCCCTCGGAGAAGCTGACCCATCAGGAAAGGCCGGGTGGTCACCTATGTGGGTCTGGACGCGAGTTTGTCACTACATTTATTTTAACTCAATTGAAAAACTAAACAGGCGAGAGGGCAGTCGGGTGGCGGTGGCGCACGGACTCCCAGCACAGTGCTCTCGGCAGGGTTCCCCGCTGTCCCCTACCGCCCCGATTCCCAAATTCAAAGGTCGACGGCCGGCGTCCAGGTGCCTCACCTTCTCTCCGGTCAGCACGTGCAGCCCCTCGCGCACCTTGGCAAAAGAGCCTTCCCCCAGCTTCCTGCTGCCAATGAGGTAGTTGCCCACGCGTTTGTGGTGCTGGAAGTCGCGGAGCCGCTCGCGGGGCACGCCGCTCACCCAGGCCGGCAGGAAACTTCCCTCACAGGCCGCCGCCGGCCTC